AGAGGGATCTGGAAAATCAGAGAGCGCTTCGGGAATTAATCTGCCATCGTTTACTTACGAGATAAACAAGTAAGATTTGTGAAGTATGTCGCAGTACGAAGTCTAAATAAATGCCTTTTCTAAGCTTGTTGGCTGTATTTTTCGTAAACTTCCCCGATTAATTTTTCGTTTCAGCTTACTAATCTATACTATTTCAAAGCAATGTAAAGACGAAGACGGAGAAAACCATGAGTCGATCCTTTCAACAATCGTAAACAAAGTGTTTGAGCAATCAGGTATACGAGGTGTAATAATCAATAGCCGCATTTCAGAAGTCTTCAGAAAGAAAATATTCAGCCTTCAGAAAGCTGTCAAGAAAGCTAGTAATCGTGGCGGAAGGCAATTAAATGCACTTCTTAGCAATTTGGAAGCGGGCCCTCGGTATCGATTTAAGGTGTATTACAACGAGGTTGATGTGCATCAGCTTAAAGATGAGAACAGCCAGTTAAGGGGAGAAAAAAGAAAATTAGAAGAATCGTTGGTACAGGAGAAGGCAAAGCGATTGCGAGTGGATGAAAAAGCCCGAGAAGCTCTCGAGAAAGCTGAGAAGAAAGGGGCCTTCTACAAGAAAAAATTTATTCAATTGGCCAATAAAGTGATTAAAAATGGGAAAAAAGGTAGAGGCCCTGCTAAGAAGAAGTTTAATGACTATTCTAAGCACCATCAAAAGAGAATTAAAAACCAACTGAAGGACGAGTGCCAAACTACACTCTCTTTTCTTGGGCTGTACAATTTTGTTGCAACCAAAATTGAAGTCCTCAACACTGAGACTAATCAATATGAAACTTTCAATCTTGTTGGAGAGGGAGAGCTACCATTTACAGAGTCTGACCCAAAGGCCCTTGATAATGATGACATTGATAACATAAATATGTGGCTCTACCTCAAAGATAAATTCAATATTTCAAACGAGACCTGGCATGAAATTGCCATTAAGGCTAATGGTCTCCCCAATACATATTCCATCAAGAAGCGAATTAATGAGCTAAACAGTAAATGGAACTTGAAACCAACACCAGGAGATGCTGAAGGTGTTCAGTTAGGATTTGCAGAAAGTTTGCAAGAGCACATTGTTAGGCTTCAGAAGAATGGAGAAATTAATGATGGAGAAGCTATTAAGATCAAGCTTAGCGGTGATGGTACAAATATTGGAAAGCGGCTTACAGTTGTCAACTTCACATTTACTATTCTCAATGAAAAGGATGTGGCAATGGCTGAGAAGGGAAATTATGTACTTGCTGTTATAAAAACTACAGAGACATATCATAATCTGAGAGACAGCCTGGCAGACCTTCAAATGGAAATGGCAAACTTAAAGGAGATAAGTGCAAATAATTGCACCTATAAAATTGAATACTTTTTAGGTGGAGATTTGAAATTTTTAGCACTGGTATGTGGTTTAGGCAGGGCAAATGAGGATTATGCTTGTGTGTGGTGCAAGTGTCCCAGGGAGCAACGGTGGGACACAAGCAAAACATGGTCAATTAATGACCCCAAATTTGGTGCTAGAACTGTTGCCGAAATAGCAAGGTTTTCCACTGAAAAGAAATTTAACTGTAAGGCACAACCATTATTTGATTTTATACCTATGGACCATGTCATCATAGATACATTACATCTTTTTCTGAGGATTTCAGATGTTTTGATTGACTTGTTCATAAGAGAGCTAAGAAGAAGTGATGCTATTGAGAAAAAAAAAACCTTCTCTGATGGATTCCCGAGAGATAAATATAAACACATGGCATGTTACGAAGAATATATCACAAGTATGGGAATCACTTTTAATTTTAGAATCAACAAAGAGAGCAAAAAGCTGGAATATAGAGATCTTACTGGACCAGAAAAGTTGAAACTGTTTCAGAATATAAACATTCCTATGCTTCTCCCTCACTGCAGTCACAACAAAGACATACAAGTGATCTGGGCTAAATTTATGGACATAATTGGTGATTTGAAGCTAGATTTTACATCTGAAGAGGGTATTCTTGAACTGCAAAGAAATATCAAATCATGGTTTGAGCACTTTCTCAAAGTTTACCAAGCAAAAGATGTCACTCCCTACATGCATGCACTATGTTGTCATGTTCCTGAGTTCCTGTCACTTTATCAGAACATAGCATATTACACACAGCAAGGCTTGGAAAAATACAATGATAGAGCTTCTAAAGATTTCTTCAGATCCACAAATCACAAAGGGGTTGATGCCCTCAAACAACTGTTTCTGAAGAAAAACAGGATTCAGTTCCTGGAGGCAGCAGGCTATGAAAGGGTTAAGAACACCTACAAATGCAATAACTGTTCAAACAAAGGCCACAACATCAAGACATGCACATCTTCATGCAAAAATTGTCCAGCTCCAATTTGCTGTGCACATCTTGTGAAGGAAGGTGGCAAATGGATTCCCAGATGCCAGCTTCAATATTAACTAGAGTTAGTTTAGTTTTAGTAAGTTTTGTTAGTTTTATGTAATAAAATATGTCATTTGGTTTATGAGGAAGGATTTCCTGACCTGATCTTGCCTTAGTTTGATCATAATGTTACTCAGGATCAAAACATTTAATACTTCTAGTACCCTTAAATATCACCTTTAATTTCTTACGTGTGTCTTTCCACCAAGCGTGTCTTGCATAGACCTGGAAGCTTGCTGTGAGAATTCTCAGGCAGGTATTCTTTCAGAGTCAACTCAGACAGCTGCTTTCGCCTTGGGCTGTTATGTAAAAATAAATATGCCTCGTTAATCAGACCTATCAAATCTCGCACTTCTGACAGTTTGCATGATGTTGCGATGGAGAGGTTCAGGCAGTGAGCATAGCAATGTGTGCACACCTTCATTTCCACTAGACATATCGGAAGCCCCATCATATGCCATAGGATCAGAGAGAGATTCCAAAATCCTTCTTGAAATCATTGTGGCATTTAGTCGTTCCAAATGCCTGAAATTAATCAGGCATTCTTTGATATGAGGATCGTTTGGCAAAGACTGGTCTACAAACCTCAAGCATAAAGATAAGATCTCCTGGTTTGAGTGTGGATCAGTACTCTCATCAGCTATGATCGTGAAAGGGAGGTCCTTAGTCCTTAGCTCTGCTGTAAGCCTTTCCTTAATTTTTGACGTATACACGTTTCGCGAAATGTACATTACCTTTTATGACTTGACAAGCAGTCGAATGGTGGAAGTGGAAAAACTTTGTAAAAAAATTTTATTGACAATTACCTTAGGAAGAATAAAACAAATAACAAGAGACAAATGCTCCTCAATGGGTGGGGGGGGGGGGTTGGAACCCCCTCAACCCCTCCCCTGGATCGGCCTCTGCTGATATAGAACCACGCACGCTGGAAGACCTTACAGAGAAGGTATGTGTGTTGTTTTTCCCAAACGGAAAGAATAGTTTCGCCGGTCGCTTATTTTTTTAATTTCCTGCTGAAGGAACTGTTGAAGACTACTAGAAGAGAAATGGCCTTTATCCTTCCTCCACCTATTTTTTTCCTTCGAACTGAGCCGCGATATCTCTCAGGCGATGAATTTGAAGGCAACGCCAATGAGGCCACGGGAACAAGGAGCTCTTCTACCGCAGAAGAAAGTTGTGTAGTATCTATTCCAGCACCTGCCGAAGCCACTGACCGGGAAGTGTGCAAAGTGTGCAACTGTACTCTCCAGACAAGTCAAAGCTGTCTAGGGTGTGAGCAAAACCATGTGTATGAGGAGAGTCTATGGGCTGACGCAGAGGAAAATGAAGAACTACAAAGTGAGAACTGTGTTTCTTTATTGTCCATGGAGGAAATGAGAGAGTTTCATTTGGCCCATTTTCAGAATAGCATTTTCTGTCCACCTGTTCAAAGCAATGTTGCTGTATCAGAAGAAATTGCTGCAACACCGAGTGCTTTGCATAGGGAGGAAAACTCCTTACCAGATGAGCCAGGAGAAAATGGTTTGATGTCACTTACAGTACACCGTTCAGTAATTTGCAGTGATATGATTGAACATTTTAAAGTCCACGAAATTATGAATTGTGAGTTAATATTCACAGTTGTCAATGAGAGAGGAAACAAAGAAGGTGTAGGTGAAGGCGTAGAGAGAGAAGTATATACACTCTTCTGGAAGCAATTTTCTAACTGAGTGACCATAGGAGAGTGTGAAAGAGTACCTTTTGTGAGACATGATCATTTTATCAAGGAATAGGAAGCAGTTGGCAGAATTCTAGTGAAGGGATTCAAATCAGCTTCGTATTTCCCTATGTTCTCATTAAAGGCTTTTATGTGCTATTGCTTGTTTGATGCTGATGTAGACTCCAACCAAGAGATGAGTTTAAAAAGAAAATTTATTCCACATTCACAATCAATCGAGTAAATTGAACGCATCCGATTACGTTGAAAACGAAGGTAAAAATGATGTAAATGATGTAATTGAGGAAAAGGTGAAATGATAGTTCGACTAAAAGGAAAAATTACGACTATAAATTATAATAGATCTAAGAAAATTGACAAACTAAATGAAAACAGAGAAAAGACTAACGACTTACAATATTTCCTCCTATTGATGTGAACGGGTCGAGTAAAATAAACGATGATTTGAAAACAAGATCTTGCCGTGACAAAAGCCAACACTGAATATATAATACACTGAAAAACGAGAACTTAAAGGCGTAATCAAAAGAGTCATGTGAAGATTAAGGTTAAAATTCAAATCGCAAGTAACGCACTTACGTGACCGGTCACGCACGTTTGAATCTTACAGCTGAGTTTCCAGACAGTGTTCTTCTTGAGTCACACATAAAGTATGTGTCACCAGTGGAGGAAGAGTTAGTGATAGAAAATCTGCAGAAAGATTGTTTCCAGATGCAAATGAAGAGCTGCTTGAATTCTTGGAAAGATTCAATTGTAGAGAAGCAGTTACTCCACAGAATCTTAGGAAAGTTCTCCTAGAAATTGCTAATCAAGAACTAATCCAAAAGCTTCGTGTCATGATTTCCACCTGGCAGCCTAGTGTCCAAGAGCTGAAGCAGTATCCACATTTTCAGAGTGTTTCAGGTATTCAAGGCCTATATGATACACTAAACCCAACAAACAAGAAAGTTCTAGAAACTTTAGTAGCACAACCAAACACAGATGCAGAACACGATGCTCTGAAGTTTCTGCAACATTATATAAGAGGTTTAGACAATGAAAAGCTTATTCAATTCCTAAGATTCACAACTGCATCAGATGCCTTGATTACCAACAAGCTTGAAGTGACGTTCACAAAACTTGAAGGTGCTGCTTGTAAGCCCATTGCTCACACATGTGAACTTCTCTTGGAACTGCCTTCTACTTATTCTAATTTTGATGAGCTGAGAGAGCAGTTCAACAACATTTTGGAAAAGGATATGTGGGAAATGGACATAATGTGACTTACAAAGGAGTAAACTGTATAGCTTGCATGGTAGTCTGGTAAATGGTGTGCTGTGTTTTTTCATTTGAAAATTGTGATAACAGTTTGATTTGTATGCTTTGTTTTGTCATTTTTGTCACCAAGTAATCTAAAAAAGTATGAAAGTCAAAGCTTGTCGTTTTTCTTTGAAATAGGAATATAGTGTATGCTGCAGTACATCCACCATGCAGTATACCTCAGATTACAACCCTTCTTAAGTATTTTTTCATTGTTTTGCTGTTATAGTTTCATCACTCATCTTTTTCAAGCAAGTTACAGAATTTGTAGGAAAAGCTAAGGGTACATTGTACTTGACAATTTAGGCAACTGGTCTCCTTCAGACCTTTCATCATGATCAGCCCACAGTGATAAAGGAACCTTTACCTCTGTAGTTAAAAAGCCTTTTTTCATGTAGCCAAAGTTGGTAGAAGAGCTGATGATGTTATAATTCTTTTTACTCTCCATAAAGCTAAAATTTGGGGGTATACCAGATGGTTTCCTGTTCCAACCTGTTATCAAAGTCTGGATGAGGTGCTCTTAGTGAAAGATTCAAATTGGGTTTTTCCATTTAACATAGCAGAGATGTTGTCGTGCAACTATACCTGAATATGTGTATGTATAGAGATGCATGTGGACACACACACACACATATATACATATATAATGTGGGAGGAAAAAGACAAATAAACTACAAGTTCATCCCTACAGACCTGTTTCGTGGTTGCCCACTCATCAATCCCCTGATGAGTGGGCAACCACGAGACAGGTCTGTAGGGATGAACTTGTAGTTTATTTGTCTTTTTCCTCCCACAATATATACATCGCTCTACTCCTATGTATTGAGCACTGCTTTACGAAAGTCAAAATTTTACACTATATATACATATATCTATGTATGTATATATATATATATATATATATATATATATATGTATATATATATATTCATATATAGATATTTTCATATTCAGAGTATATGTATACACTTATACAGATGTTTAGTTCAAAAAATGTAAAAAAGGTTATATAAACATGTAATCAGAAGAGATACCTTAAATTTTTATCTTCCTAAAATGCATGCAATTTTCCAGGTTGTGTCTTAAATTGTTGTGTTTTCCATTCATCTCTGGAAATGAGTGGGAATCAGTATAAGATCTCCTTAGAACATCAACTCAATGCCAGCAAACAGGCAATTAGCAAAGGCAGGCCTATCAATCTGATGATTTATCTTGATGCAAACCATATTCTCTAAAACAATTCACAAAGAAGTAGATAACAGCTGGAAAGGAGAATTGCAAATTTAATATTGGGAGTTATTGGTTTAATATGACATGTTTGCCAGCATTTTATCAAAGGAGGCACTGCCTTTTTGCCCTTGAGGGGAAGGTAAATTGTGATCTGTAACTAAAGGTCATTGTGTTTGGTTTTGGTTCCAGGTTCACACAGCACATTACTTTTTGATTGGGTTGTGTTGGTTTGATTTGTGAGGGGATTTTACTAGAACTATTTTGATAAAATAGTCTCTTTGTATTAAGAAAAGAAAAAAACTTAAGTTGGGCAACTTTATACTTTAGCTTATTTTATTAGATCTGGAAGGGTTTAATATTTTTAAGATTTGCATAGAATGTTTTTTATGTCTCCATACTGTGGAGCTAATAATCATTGAAGCCGTTACAATTTTACATCGTTTTTTCTTTTTTTCTTGCCAACTTATTACATTCAGAATAATTAAACTATGGCAACTTCTCGACCTCTTTAATTAGTGTCACATACATATCAAGTGCTTCATTTACATTCCGAGGTGGCTGCAGTCCCAATGCAGTCATTTTTATTGCAAACTCCTCAAATTCTTGACTCCAATCTGCAAGACACATGGTTGATTTGTCAATGAACTCCTCAAGTTCTTGGGGGTCAACAGGTACTTTGTAGTTTTCTGAGTTGTACAGGTGGGGAAGGAAAAACATACAGTCGGGTCTTCCTCTGGGACCACTACTATTTTCAAATTTGCTTGAAGCTACAATGTGTTGATTCCACATCTCAGCAACTTCATTAAGCTCATTTCTCAATATTTGCATAAAACGAAATCGAAAACATTCCTGATGAACAGGATCCGTGCTTTTAAATAAACCTAAGTCGGACAGATCTTTGAAGAAATTGACCCACCAACCAGGACCATCCCTTACGAATTGTGACTGGTAGGATTCAATTCTTTGATTAGCCGTGAATCTGCCAATATTAAAAGATCCTGGGACAGCATTTTCATCAGCATGGGATGGCCTAAGGAAAGTACGAAGTGCCTCAATCACACAATTTTCAGTCCCATCATCCGATCTTATCTTCCGGGGTACACCACTTAACTGTTTCACGGTATCTAGGTAATCACTTCTGGATTCTTATTTGTGGGGCCTACCTTCAGCCAGAGAAGCCTTCGAGAGAACCCATCAACACAGCTATGCACGCTGAACCCGAATGGCTTTAAGTTATCGAGGCCATCAATATGCCAAGTAAAATGTGGCCCTTTTGTATGATATGCACGACGACGTAACCTTTTCTTTCGCCTGGTTTCTACACCGTCGGGATCAAGTTCCTTCAGAAGAGTCATTACTCTTGCTCTTTGGACTATAATTCCCCTCTTTCTTATCCTTGCCCACATCTTGCAGTATCCCACAAAACAACCACTTTTACCAAGTTCCTTCTCAATGGCACTTCTCAGTTCATTATCAGAGATGTTAGTTTTTCTTGATAATCCTAAAGAGGTAACCCTTCTCTTCAGAGTCGGTAAAATAATGATAATAAAATATATAATATATAATAATAAAATAAATTAGTGCAAATAATCGTGAAAGTTGTAAGATGACATGTTCTCACATACCAGACCAAAAAAATTCTATATTCTAGGTCTACATTTTGTACCCATTCTGCAGTCTGCAGTGAGGTAACTGGACATTTTTCGTTCTTTGCCGCGTTAATACTCCTCTTTCCTTTTGTAAGAATGTAAAAATCACTTACAATGTTTCAAGTAATCCACCCAGCCCCAAAAAGATAACTCCTGCGTGCATAGCATGCGTATGTTTTGTAATAGGTATATGCCCTTGGCCAGACTTGAGCTCACTATTTCAGTATACTAGTCCGACACCCGTAGTATGACTACACTTGATTCCAAGGATCCAGTACCATCCAGGTATCCCAGTATACCGCGCTTTATGAGGAATGCGATACTACTGAACAAATTAAAGATATCAGATTACCTATAGAAAAAGGTGACACTCATGCTGGGAAAATGGTGGATAATCGTTCGAGAGAAAATGGAGTTCTGTGCACTGTAGCACGACCATAGTTATTGTTCCTTCACGACAAGAGTGAGTGGAACAATTTTGAATCAAATATGGCTTGAGGTGTTGATGAATTCACCTTTTGGGCTTTAGATGGCACGTGTAGTGTCACGTGACTTTGGATGTAAACAAACCCCGAAAGTTCGGACATTGAGTTGAGCTCGCAGCACATGTGTTCAAACTTGGGCTTTGGAAATCTTTCTTAAATAACTTCCCACTTTCAAGGAACGTTTCTTCGCTCAAAATTGGCATCTTTCTTTTATCATTTATTCGATCTTGTGTCAAGCAAGTTGTCATCTCGCTACCGTTGAAGCAGCTGCGAAGAATGTTACGGGAAGCGTTGAGGCATGGAATAATCGAACTAGTTCTGCGTACAGTGATGTATCTGATCAGGTATTTTCGGGGTGTTAAGTGCGTAGATTGTTAAATAAAATCACTTCTGTCAGGAAAGTAGTACCCAAGAATCGCTGTAGAACATGAGGATGCCTGCATTCCCACAAGGAATTACTTATCTGGGTGTGGATTTTCTTAGCTGATAAATGTACCGATTTTTTTAACCTTAAGTAACGCAAGTGATAAATTCTGCGAAACTTAGAACAAACTTCTAAATTTAAGAATGGCAGATCACAAAAGTAAAGCCGATTTCAACGCAATGAGAGGGCTTAAAAAATATCTACAGGAACGGGGGATTTCAGCGAGCGGATACTTGAAAACCTCGTTAGTGGAAATCACCTCTGAAGTCGAAAAAATGGTTCTGCCAGTGGATCCGATTTCGAAAAGGCGACACCACTGCTTTAGACGAATTAATAATTCATGGTATGCTAATACCCAATCCATTTTTCCTGAAGACTGTTAACTGGCTCTACGCTCAGATTTAAAAGGGCTTTGGCTACTGCGTATTCCTCTGTCGATTTACCAGTTTGACGATCAAGTGTCAGAAGGGTTTTAGCCAAGGTAAACTTTCTTGCATCTCTCTTTGTCTGCTTCTCGTTCGCAAGATACCTTCCGTTTACAATTGAGTCGCGACACCTAAGCATGGTATATATATTTACCCCAAAGACAAAACAATGATATAAAAGAACGACAGAATTAACTTACCCCTTCTTTACTAGCTACAGTAGATATGAGATCAGGATCCACTTCTGTTGGACCATTTCCACCGACAAAATGTAGACTACAAACGTAGCTGTCTTTCTTGCACACGAACGAGTCACCTCGATGACATGACGTTATTCACCTTTGCCTCCTCTCCTTTTGTCTAACTGCCCCGGAAAATGGAAAAACTTGACCGGGTCGCCGGTAGAGTTTCGTACCCAGGGGTTGAGGTATCGTGAATCGTTTTTGCAGGTGCCATAAGCACGTCTCTTTGTCGTAACCATTATGTTTAGCTATACACTTACCAAACAACTGAAATTGTACACGTTCGTAGAGTTGAAATCGGTGTTATTTTTGGGAATCAAGGCTTCCTCACGTTCTACAGCGATTCGTGGGCACTAATCTGTCAGACGGGGATTTATTTGACAATCTACGTACTAAACACCCTGAAAATACCTGATCAGATACATCACTGTACACAGAACTAGTTCGATTATTCCATGCCGCAACGAATTCTGTAATATAACATTCTTCGCATCTGCTTCAACGGCAGCGAAATGACAACTTGCTTGGCACACGATCAAATATATGGTAAAAGAAAGATGCCAATTTTGAGCGAAGAAATGTTCCTTGAAGGTGGGCAGTTATTTAAGAAAAATTTCCAAAGCCGAAATTTGGATACATGTGCTGCGAGCTCGACTCAACGTCCGAACTTTTCGGGGTTGCTTACATCAGAAGTCACGTGACACTACATGTGAAATCTACAGTTCCCGGCGCCATATTGGATTAGTAACCGCTCATACACGATAACGAGGCTGGGGTTGACCTGGCGGTTCTTTCAAACAGCTGATATGCTGACATTTCACGTTCTAATGCACTTTTCAATGCGATTTCTCGCTTCAAAATGGTTCTTTAATACAACAGTATGGAAATTTCGTCATTAGATGACATCCAGAAACTCGAAGCAAAAGATCTCAGGGAGATTTTAAAATCTAATTCAAAATCGAGAGCCGACTTAGTGTCGAAAGTTCATGCTTTGTTGATGTGACACGTCCTTCCATCAAGTAGTGGAGAAAACCGAGAACTTTTTACAGATATCCAGGACCTAGAACAAAACCAGAGCGACTTCAAATACGAAGCAACGATGGTAAGGATTTCAGCCCTTGGATGGTCGAGCGATCTCCGTAATTTACCTGAGATTAATTTCATTCAGCTTTACGATTACCTAGTTGTTTCACGAGAATATCGCCACATCGTGTTAAGAGGAATGCATCATAGGAAGTACCACAGAAGTTGTTCAGTATGGCTTAGAAAGCGAGGCAAAGGCTGTAGCCCTCTAGGTAGAGGAGATTTGTTATTGCTGCTGTTATTGATGTGGTACTTGTTGTTGTACCATATTCTTCAGTTAAAGTTGTTCCCATTTTGTTTACCAAGATGTATTTTAGTTTGTACATTGTATCTTATGGGAAACTATACAATAGAGCCTGTACAGCCACTTGATTATAACCTTCTTTCTATCAGCCCATGAGGGAAACTGTAACTAACAGATGTCATAATATTTTGAAACCCATCTGGCCCAGGACAACTTATGCTCGTGATACATTGAAAACCATTTGAGTTCGCGACTCATGGTAATTTATTAGGTGGCAAGACAGCATTGAAAGAATCAGACCAAAATATTAGACAATTTAAAAACTCCCAAAAGTGACTGATTCAGGTAACTTCTCCCTATAATATCCAAACAATATCCAGCAAACAGATAATGATATTACTGAAACTTATCAGGCAAAAGTTATCTTGATCTTACATCAAATTCTCATAACTTATTTACATGTAAGTGTGTAGCAACTAGAAGGGAGAATTAACAATCAGATCTTGGGTATTTAAGGGTTATAGGAAGAGAGCAGAAATGCTTCCTCTCAGCTACTGATCTCAGCAATGTTAGTCCTTCACACACATTTAAGTTTCTGTCAGTGATAAACATTCAGTGAATTGATATTCCCATTCTTAGCACTCAGAGGCCTTCTGACACAAAGGTTTGCTATACTAGTTCTTATTGCCTTGTGTAAACCAATGTTATGATAATAAAATTTTGAGATACTTAAAAGATTGAGAAATATATCCAAATCAAGATATTTATTTTATACTGTTACAGTTACCATGAGATTTGTTTGAAAGAGAATCTTTCAGACAGTATGAGAAATTATTTTTTGCAAGACTTCTATCAAACTTCTTATTATGAGGACAATTTTGTGAATTATGAAATTTAGTGTCAGTTCATCTTTGTGTTGAGAACTCTTTTAGTTGGTGAAACTCACTTTTTCTTTTTTCCAATTTGAAGCATCAAATTGATTGATACATAAAGCACACAAAATATTTTGTGAGAGTTCCATGTGGCATCCATAGTGGATTACTATGCTATCATAAAAAACAAAAACAACAACTACTGAAAACTGCTTTTGTCACAATTGCTACCAAACTTGTGTCAGTTTTCTGGGTCTGCCATAATAAGTGAAAACTCTGAAGATACAGTGTCTTGGTTATTTTATTAAAAGCAATTACTTTCCAAGAGTTTCTCTGCTAGGAGTGTTTTAGGCAAGCCATGTAGTAAACAGGTGAGCAGTACTGAACTTATTGACTAACTGCCGCAATGAATAAAAATTCTATCAAACTTTGATAGAAACAAAAACAACAACTACTGAAAACTGCTTTTGTCACAATTGCTACCAAACTTGTGTCAGTTTTCTGGGTCTGCCATAATAAGTGAAAACTCTGAAGATACAGTGTCTTGGTTATTTTATTAAAAGCAATTACTTTCCAAGAGTTTCTCTGCTAGGAGTGTTTTAGGCAAGCCATGTAGTAAACAGGTGAGCAGTACTGAACTTATTGACTTACTGCCGCAATGAATAAAAATTCTATCAAACTTAAAACAATTCAGGTACCTAATTGAAAATTTGTACTAATTTTGCAACATTAGTCGCCCTCATCCACAATTCACAGAGAATAAGATAGGTATAGAACGATAAATACTTAGCAAAAATACATGCCTTTGTGCATAAACTTGCACCAAACATTTTGATTTGAGCAGTTCTTTAACGGCAAGCTGTGTAGCAAGATACATGATTTGTTGAGTGTGCCGATTATATTTTTCTGGATTAGTTTGCTCAGTGCTCTCTCAGGATGAATGTCGCTTTAAAATTAACTATAGACGATTCGGATCATGTGTACTATAGGTGGACTCGGTCGACATATCGGGCGACAGTCGACCGATATATCGATCGACTATCGGTCGATAGTCGACCGACTATCGACCGATAGTCGACCGATATATCGACCGATAGTCGACCGACTATCGACCGATAGTCGA